GCGCCCTCCCGTGGCCATTTTGGTGCCTCTCGCCGAAGGAGGGAGCCGGGCTGCGCGCGCAGGGGGGCGGGCCGGGCTTTTCGGGCTGCGGCGGGGGCCTCCCCGGCCGGCTCGGGGAGGGAGGGCCTCCCGCACGAGCCCTTCGCCACACACGCACCTTGCTGAGGGCGCCGAAGGCTTGCCCTTCTCCAGTAGGGAGCCAGAAGGGCGCTGCCGTTCTCCCGATGACCGCTAGAGGGCCGCAAAGGCAGTGTTCTGTGGCCCTCTAGTGGCCCTCCCGGTTAGTGCAGTCCCTGATCTTGGTACGCGGCCCCTGCTGCTCCTTCTGTTAGAAGCAGTGTGATGGCTTTCTCGAAAGCAAGCTTGCAGCCTTATCCAGTAAAGTGAAAAAGGGGGGATGGGGGAAAAAAAGAAGACCCCAAATCAAATTGAAAAAGTTGTCCTGGAGTCTGGCTTGGTTCCTGGGGATTGTGCGGGGTGCTCCTTCTTGCAACTTGATTCTGGCAAGAACTTGCAGCCCTTCCGGGGGCAGGGTTGAAATCTCTTGGGTCCTCCTCCTCCATCCTCTTGTTTTCCCTTAATCCTTCCCACAACCTTGCCAGACCTAGCCAATTTTTTGTTAGGTCCATTCTCCCCTCTCATTGCGGGCCTAAAATCAGTCTCTACTCGCTAATCTTCATCTCAAGGGAGCCATCAGCCTAACCTTGGCCCAGAATGGATTGGGTCTTGCAGCAGCCATCTCCATCTTCTTAGTAACTACCTCCACGTTTGTATTTTGAAGGCAGCAATCATCCTTGGCTTTCTCAGTGTCCAGCATCTGCAGCCGTCCCCTACCATGGGAAAAGGCCATTGCTTTCAATATTCTGACCTTTGTGGTCGTTGAAAGGCCCTTCATCTTTTATTTTTTGGTATTTTAATTGTTAAATTTGCTTTGTGTATAAAAACTTTAAGTAACAATACAATGGAGACCTTAACAGTACAGGTAGACCTTGCTTAGGGACTGCCCTGTTTAGTGACCAAAGTTATGGTGCTGAAAAAGTAACGTTACGACCAGTACTCGCGTTTATGACTGTCACAGCATCCCCATGGTCATGTGATCGACATTCGGGTGCTTGGCAACCAGCAAGTGTTTATGACCATCACAGTGTCCGGTCATGGGATCACCATTTGTGCACTTCACAACTGGCTTCCAGCAAGCAGAGTCAATGGAGAAGCTGGCAGTAAAGTTGCATGTCATGGTCATGTGATATCTCGCTTAATGACCACCAGTGATTCGCTTAATGACTGAATGGGAAGCGATGTCGTAAATCTGTTGTGGTCACATGATATTTTGCTTAGTGACCACATTGCTTAGTGATGGAGTTGCCAGTCCCAATTGTGGTTGCTAAGCGAGGACTACCTGTAATCCGCTCAAGACCGAAACCTGTATTGTACAACAAATATTTTGATGCAATCTGAGCATTTTTTTTCAAATGTTATAGTCAATTCCGGATGAAAAAGCCAAATAATCTTATGCTCAGTAACACTGATATCCTAAATTATAATTAATATTGCTATAATACTTCTTTCTCTTTTCTTTATCCACAATAGTCTAAGTTATCTAAACAATACTGTAGAGTGTTAATAATCTTCAATTAATATTTTATATTATTAATATATAATTAATATTGTATATTGTATCAAAACAATATAATGTTAAGAATTACAAAATAATAATAGTAAAAAGAAAGCCCCTTTAATGATATTGTCTGTTACTGTCTTCTTCCCTAACATTAATCTTGGTTCCTTCTGCACACCATCCATCTTTATCCGTTCCTCAGCCCTAGAAAACTAAAGCTTTTACCATCTCTATTTCTTCTGATCTTAAAAGTGAGCTGTGTTAATCTGTAGTGGCAAAGCTTATAAAATTTGTTAGTGGGAAAAGGAGCTACCAGATGTCTCCTGATTATCTTCTCATCTAAGTATGCAGATTGACTTTCCTTTTGTCTTTATTTAACTTGTGTTTTTTTCACTTTTCATGCTTATTTTTACTCTCCTATGCCTTCTTTCAATTAAAGTGGTTTCCTCTGATTATTTAAAATGGCTGGCATTTTGACTTCCAGCTATGACCCCAACTGGCATCTCTTCTAAATGCTAATTCAGCATCCCCTTACTTTTGTACATGCAACCACTTCATAAATTTGGCAAGAGCAAATCTGACTCTTAAAAAAGTTTTATCACAATATACGTTACTAGAAAATGAAGCGGTGTTAATAGCGAAAAAAAAATCCAAATTCCAGGTCAGCAGTCTTCATTTCAGCCAAGCACACAAAGCTTAGTTTTGAGTAATCACAGCCAAGTCTGCTTTGTTCAACATTGTGGTTTAGTAGTAGAAGTAGCCATTGCGATTGCTTATAATCGCATCCAGATATAACAATAGATCATGGTTGAATGAGAATCTGAAATTTCCATTTGTGATTTGTAATACAGGGAAGTCTTGCCTGTCTGCATTCTTGTAACTATAAACCATGGATTATGATTGAGGGCAGAATAAGTCTCCCTAAACCTCTAAAGATAAAGCTTGAATCTTACTGGCTACATATAGAATTCCTTATTAGGAAAGATTGTGCATACGTGGTGCAAATGAGAGATTGCTCATATGTTACTTAAATGTCAATTGTATGCTACGGAAAGGGCCTATCAGTTAGAATCCCACATCAAATTTAAGAACTTTTGGGAGACTGAGTTTAAATGGTCCCACTTACTGCAAGGAACCAGTTTGTTGGCCTTTAGAAGGACTGCTGCTTTTAAATACAAAATAATGCAGAAAAGGAAAGATCACTTAGCACAGACTGGAGTTGATTGTGGGGGCAATAAAATGATTTGACCGATATTGATACTGATTACCGTTTTAATTGTATTTCCTTTCTTTGTTGATTCTTTATTGTTTGATGAGATGGTTGAAGACTAATGAATAAAGTCTTTATGTTATGACTGTATGGCGGAGTCATGTAGTGCTTCAGATTCTGTTGGGAAGGGAAGCTTCCTTCAAAACATCTAGAGGCATGTAAGCAGTGCCTGGCTGTGACTTAAAGCCACATCTGTTTCTAGGACTCTGCAACTCATTGAAAATCCCAGTTGAATCTAAAACATTGCCGTGTCCCGCAACACAGATGCATCCGTGAAGCTTTCTTATCATTGAGTACTTCTGGGATTTTTTTTTTCCAGCTTCCCAGTGTAGCCTATAATCTGGAGATTTCCTGGTGGTCTCCCATCCAAATTCTAAACAGATCCAACCCTGCCGCTTTGCTTTTTTTCAGATCAGCCAAAGTCAGCTGGATGCTGGCATGCACTGCAAGATGCATCTGTACATTAGACACAATCATGGCATACTAAATGGGTTTTTTTGTAGATCATGCACGCAAAGAAACCCAACAAAGGATCTGGATACAATGTAAAGTTTTATTCCTAATTTATCTTATTTGCAAAATTAATATGTCCATGAATGAAAGAAAGCATAATACATGGATAAAAAAAATGTATTACATAGTTGTTAGTGTCGTTCAGTGATCCAAAAAGATACTCTTTTCTGACTTGCAAATGAGAAAGTAATGTGGAAAAAGTAAATCTGGAATATGAAATATTTGCTGTGTTTAAGGATAGCAGCAAGGTCATTTCAAGGTTTATGAGCTGATTTTGGAGTGTATATTCTGAAAAAGACATCCTGAGTTCAACAAAAGTATTGTCTTTGTTAATGTTCTAGAGGCGACATCACACATTGCCAATTCAGACAGCTATTTAAAATTCCCCTTCTTTTTGTGTCTATTCAGAAATAAGGTCTGCTAAAGCTAATTGGGCTCATTTTCAGCTAGGAATATATATGATTGCATGGCCTGCATGGAAGCCTATATTTAG